ATTCATATTTAATTGATCTTCACATAATCCTAAATAAACAAACTGTTCTAAAATTATCTTATCAAACGACATTTCATATTATTTCAGTTTACATGTATATAGCCTACTCGATGGAGCCTATTTTCTTTTGAAATTATACACAACTTTTAACACCAAAATGTCACTGTTAACCAACATGCTCTACCGAAGTGAAGAGACTGTAATGTTAAGTGTAACCCGAGGCTATGAAATAAATCTTTCCCTCTCTGTTCAGAGTTTGTCGTAGAATTAATGCATTCTACATATTATTTGTTACATAATACAGGGTGATTTTGTTGATCAAACACAACAATGTCTAAATACTGTACAAGGATAGTGCAGTTTACTTGTTCAGAAAGTACATATTTTCAAGTTTTTTCCATTAATATATGCTTTTTAAATCATTTAGTATAAGTAAATCAAATATTTGAGTTATGACAAAAATGATCAATACTCTCTACTGCAGGAAAAACTGTTCTTCGTATCTGCGAGAATTTTGGTCGGAGGTGGTACAAGTTCTTTTGAAATTATCTTGTAATGTTAAAAAAGGATTAGCCCAAGATTACAGTAAACCACTTCTTGATAAAACTTGAAACATAAAATTATTCTCTTGACAAAACTGTTTTCAAATTAACTAGATGAAAATCGCATGACATTTTACCTATGCTAGATGAAATCTCAGTAGGTAAAATTACGAGCTACTTTATAATTGTTGAAATCCCAAAAATAAAGAAAATTTAAGTTGAGGATTTTAGTTTGAAAAAGTTCTTATGATTGATTGTCCAAACAATTTCCTTTACAAAGGTTGCTACGGCTCAAGTTGAAGGTCAAGATGTACGACTTGGCAAAACTCCAGCTTCTATGACAATCAGCTGTATTTTGTAGTCAGCTGTTTAAATCGCTGATGTAACTCGTAATTTAATGCGATGGTTGACGCCAGTAACTTTCATACTTACAATATTGCTGATTATAGCCATTGGTATAGCCCACGATTACTAGAAAAATAATGGTGGTATAGCCTACAGCTAAAAATATGAATATTTCGTTGCCATAAAATTCTACCGTGTATATTTATTATCCTTATACAATTTCAATTCATCCTGAAATACTATTAAGATTTCTTTCCATTATACCAGCTCGTGTATTCTCATATGTCGGTTTGAAAATAGCTGAAGTTTACTGTTAGTATCATTTTGTGTGTGGTGAAGTAAGACTAGCTAAGGTAAGTCTATTATAAAATAAGATTGGCTAAAGCTAAAAAAATCAAAATTCCATTCGAATGAAATATTTACTATATGGTCAGGTTAGTTTATTAGAATGTAGTAGTTAATGCGAAACAAGGGAACACAAGTCTCAAAAATGTCCAATAAACGCGTAATTTATACTCTACCTACAGTACCAATGGGGCTCAAAATCCGTTACGTGCCCACAACTCTATTTCTTCCAATTACACATCTATAACTTATAGAAACCTTTTATTGAAACCCATAATCAAAACTACAATGTTTATAAAAAGGTTTTTGATTACACGCTACAGTATATACATTTGGAGAAACACACACAAAATAGAAGAAAACCCCAATAACCCCCCTAACCCAACCAAACTTCTCAAACTCAAAAACCTTTTCTAAATATTGTATTTTTCTTTAATTATTACCTATAAAAGGTTTCAATAAATTATAAGTGTAATTGTGAAAAAAGAGTTGTGGGTGCGTAACGGATTTTAACCCCAACGTTTATTCAATAAAAAGAATTATCAAAGAATTCATAGTCATTCTATAGAATACCTGATTATATACTTAATTTTTAACATAATAGCCTAACACTACAATGCTTTGAGCTAAAATACATCAGGTCAACTTGCTGTGAACGTATCATATTGTTAAAACACAATTTCCCAATAATACCAGCATTAACGCCATAATTATATTCCACACAGTAGTTTAATCCAGGGTGATTGATTATCTATGATTGATCAATGTAATAAAGTTTAGTAATTTCAGTGAGCTTGTAATTCAGATATACCAATACATTAAACTTGTAGCCATAGCGAGCCCGACATTTTGTGATTATCGTCAGAATTTAAATTACTATCAGTTTTAGAATTTCTTTTTTTCTTTGGATAATCTCATCTAAAAATTATAAATTTCATATTATAGTTTTTATCGTGAGTATAATACAAATATATAAACGACTCTAATTTCTTGATTCCTACAGTCTGCATAGTATTTTTTTTTACTCTAAATCTTAACTACCGGTATATGTTTTTTTTTTGTTTTTTTTTAGAGTTTGGTTAAAATGGATACGTAATTACGTAAAACGGACCATTCAAAGCATTCAAAAACTCACATTAACAATAAAAGGAAAGCACGTTTTCCTATAGTCACCTGACAAATATTTATAAAAGGTTAAATTTGTATTAGGCTAAATATGAAGTGGGCTTCCTTGCACTGATTATAGTACAGAAAATTGCTATTTGCTGCATATACTTATAGACCGTCTTTTTTTATAGGCTGACTCGATTGCAAAGTCTGAATTCATGTCATCAGGCGAATGAAGCAGGTTGGTGGTCTGGTCACCGCAAAAACAGCCTACCATGCCCTGGTCGAGTCACACCTCAGGTATGGTCTGGTGGTCTGGGGAAGTACATCCAACAACTAAAAATCCTCACACTGACATCACTTTACATCCGTGAGGCAATTCTCCATGCCATCTCCACAAACCAAACAAGAAACAGAGACATTCACCATCACAATACACGGAACGCCTCAAGCTTTGCAATACCACCTCACCATCTAAGTCTCTTTGAAAAGAAGCCATCCTACAAAGGGGCCCTGTATTTCAACAACCTACCAGAACAACTTAGAAATGAACCAACTCACCGTTTCAAGAACCAATTAACAACATGGCTGCAAGAAAGGCCATTCTACTCAGAAAAAGAATTCCTTGACAACCAGCTTTAACAACATATTAAATCGACAAATTTTAATTATTATTCCGACGCATGTTCTCAACGAATATGAATGGTAGACATGATTGAGCACGGATGTCAAAAGGAGCAGAGGGCGTAAAATGATAACCTGAAAGGGTTGAGAGGTTGGTTGAGGTTGTGGTGGGGGTGGGGAGAGGGGAGAGGGCTGTGGTGTTCTCAATTTGCATGCATTATACCTAGTGACGTCACCACCTCCAGCCTCTTTAGCCCTCTCGTTATGTTCAGAATATCATGTGAAACATCTACTTTGCTGTTTGACTATCACCCAATCTACCAAGTAATGAATCAAGACAGTTGCAAGCACTTGGGTGTGCATAGCCGGAACACGAATGAAATTTCCGAGTGTAGAATTGAGTAAGATGATCTGAGTGGTTTTGTGACTGAGTTTTGCTGTTTTTTTTTAGCTAGGACTATTATTAAACACCCAATGGTCAAGGATAGATGTGTCCGGCTAAGTACAGTTCATAAGAATAATACATTCTGATAAAGATGGAGTGTTTGGGCAATGGTTTCAGTAAAATTAGGTCTAAAGAGCCTTGGGCTACACTTCCGTATCTGTTGGCACAAAGCAACCGAATGAGTAATTTTGTTTATTCGATTGTTTAATTCGATATATCGTTAGGTTAGTTAGGTTCGGGTACACTTCATATATGTTGGCATAAGTAACCGAATGAGTAATATTGATTATTCGATTGTTTAATTCGATGTAGCCTATCGTTTGGTTAGTTAGGTAAGGTTAACCTAACCTAACTAACCAAACGATATATCGAATTAAACAATCGAATAAACAAAATTACTCATTCGGTTGGTTATGCCAATGTGTACCCGAACCTTGTGGAGGATGGTCGTTAATAAATGGTTTTTGAGAAAACTTTAAGCTGAATAACAAAACTAAATTTCTAAAAACGAAAAAAGGTATGCAAGTTTTATTGCAAGCCAAAATATGCTAAAACGTAAATACAATTGGCAAAACATACATTTTCCTAAAGAACTTTAAATGTGTCTATTCGAAAAATCACTTTAATATCGAGCCAGAGCCAGATAACAACACACCTCATGTCTTTTTGTCACCTCTTCTATCTTGATAATGGTTATATTGTTGTTTCAAGGACTAGTGGCTTCAATCCAGTTCTTACCATACATTTAGTACTCTCCACAGTCATCGAGATTTTTTAAGGTTTTTTTATCGGTAATAGAATTTTAGTAGTATTGGTCTTTAAAGTGAAGTTACATAAATGCCACTAATAGCATAAGAGAATCTAAAATAGGGAACCAGCGACCATTTTAAAATTTTAAATGGTGTTTGTTAGAATTGATTTCTGAAACCATTGGAAACCATTGGTAAACCTTAGGGAATTTTAGGGAGACGCAGTCAATTACTTATTCCAGTAAAGGTTATTTTACAAACTAGAACCGCGCAACTTGGCATACCAAATAAAATATATTAATTTATCCTCTCGTGAACTCTAGCCAGTTTTAATAATTTTAAGTATTTATAACACGCTGAAAACCTAACCTAACTAGATAATTATTTACTTCCACCCATCAGTCCTTTAGTAAAATCATGAAAAACAATTCACATCAAGCATGACAAAAAATCACTCATGAAAACATTCCAATTTCTCACAACGTGAAATACATTCTAAAGCCCCGCTCGGAACAACGAATATCCATTTTCCAATTTCACACACAGCGATTACAGGCTAAGACCCTTAGTTGAAAACGCTTCAATTTCACCCCCGCTAATAGACATAAACAGACACCCCTTCCGTGAGAACTAGAAGTACGCCTGGCTCGCGCACTCCACTCAAATGTTTGATGACTTTTCAACAATAACGCGAGATATTAACATGGGAGAGAACGGGGAGATGTGAGGGGTGGCTCGCGCTCGTGGGAACAGGGGGGCGAGAGAGAGGGGGGAGAGAGCGTCAGTAGGGGGAGGGCGCCGCGGCGCGTTTCGACGTCTTTATCATCAGTTGTTCGTCTGCCACGATGACGTCTAGTAGTTCCGTGCTTTCCGGCGCCAAGAGATGCCTAAAGGTAAGTGTAGGAGTTGTAACTAAAAGTTTATCGTTGAGCACTATAAGGAGCTTCTAAAACCTCTTGTACCTTAATGTTTAACTCCTAGTGATTTTGTAAGATTCGAAATTTAACCCCAAATTTGTATCACCATTTTTTATTTGGAAAGTATAAATTTAAGAATTTGAATTTAGTGTTGTATTTATAGACATAGAGAGTGTGCAGGAAATAGAAATAGTAACTGTTTCATTGCTAAATTATAAAGATGGTATGAAACCCATTTCGTACATTTAATTTTCTACCACACAGATAAGAAAGTTTTGGAATTCAAACTTCATGTTGGCCACTTTTTTTATTATTTTGCAAGTATGTATAGTACCAAATTTACATCGTTACTTGTTAGGGAGAGCGTCTAAAGACTAAGTCTAGTAAATGTTTAAAGTGGGAGTTATTTTGTTAGGTTCGAAATTCAACCTCGTGGGTTTTAATATCGAAAATGTATTTATATGTTAGTTTTAAATTTCCTACCCTACATTATAAAACATGAATGATTGTGGAATTAGTGGTGGTTTGTATGTTTATCGTCACTGTACTTGTGAAAATTTAATTAAGATTTTTTTTTAAATTTCTGTTCCTTTTGGGGTATGTTGTATGAGTATACATCAATGATGTTTGGTTTGTCGGTTTGAATTATTACTCAATACACATGGAAATCAGTATGGAATACGAAATAAACTAAGGCCGGACAGTTCCCAATGAATTTTAAAATAATGCGTTAGAGTTGTTATTTTGATACTATTAAAAAAATAAAAAATTATATATTAGAAGAAACTTAGTATGTAGTGTTTAATTGGTAATTGCTTTCTTGTTACACATGTAAAAAAATTACATGGTTGCTTGATCAAATTTGAATGAGAAGATAGTAACCAAACCACTTAATTAAAGCGTGTTTATGGTAACGTATTATCGTTACCTTACAACAGTTCCCCAAACCGAATCTGTTAGATACTTAATGGAACACTTGTGGTTCGATGACGTACAACGTCTTTATACTACAATCGATTGTTTACGACAAACAATACAACTTACGTCAAAGGTGAAATAAACAACGGATCAAAACTAAAATTAACTTTGTCATCTCCGCGTAGTTGACGTGGTAAATTGTATTTATTTTAGTCGTGGTCGGTTCAGTGATTAGAATTTTGCGCTCTGATAAGCCGTCGTCACGGCTAACGATATGATATTCTGGTATTAATCGGCCTTTAAGTTTCTTCCTTATGGCAATATTTTTCTTCAAAGACTGGCTTTGAGGCTCCAAGTAAAATACATGACTAATGAAATCAGTATATTTAGTCCAAAGTTTTGTTTTTGTTCCTATGTTGAAAACAAATATTTTATTTCTGTTACAGAAGCAATTATAAAGTACAAGACTTGTTGGTTAAAAGCTGAAGTTGTATATTGTTTTTAATGCACAGTTCTTTTACTTTGTCAAGAAGTTGTTTACTACTAGGGCCATTTTTTTAATTTAGTCTACACTCTGACATCTTACTTGTGTCATTGTTAGCGTGAACATTCTACGAGGTCCCCAAGGGAGTCTACCAAGGCGTTGAAATAAACTTAAACCTTCGTTACAACCACAGCTTGATCATCATATTTTTTTTACTTGCCTTTTAAGTAATATAACTGTGCATAAATGATCATTTCTATGTTGATTTTGTAACCACTACGAGAAAAACAGTGAAACAACAAAAACACATTGGAATCCACACAAACAAAATAAAATATTACTTCTGTGGTATCCGAGGAACCTCAAATCGTTTACATCAATAGCAACACGGGATTTGCATTCCATTGTTATCAGCAGTTTTGCTTTTTTCAGCCATCGATGTCTTTTAGCTATAAATGTTTCAAGAGCAGTACAGTAACATTTTTTTGGAAATTAAGTTTAATTTCGTAGCTATGCAATCACACCGACGTAAACAACTTATTTGGTTATTTTTTTATTTGTGTATCCACGTCATCGGTGATCTACGCTTTCAGCATTGGGTTTTTGCAAGGGAATTATTCAAACCCTTATAATGTTACCATCTAACGTCAACATTTTTGGAGATTTTTGCATCGAAATTCGATAGCCCGATGACAAATGGCATCTGTAATCGAACCTGCGACCTTCGGATTAGAAATTGATCCCTGTAACCACTCTGCTAGAAATTTTATAAAATACTCTAAAACAAACAAAAAAATCGTCAATGTTATTTGGTATTTCTACTTCTTACGAATTGACTACGCTGGGGAATATTTCTTTGCACGATATAACTACTTTCATTGAAAAACCTTCGAATGTTTTTTTATAAATCTCATGTCATCCATGTAATGTAAAAGTATACAATAAAAAATGTAAAAGTATGGAATAGTATACAGTTGAATCTTTCGAAACAGTCTGAATTATTTTGAACCTAAGTTGAGTTTAATCGTATGAAACACTTACACGTTGATCCCACAAACCTTAATGTTGATGACATTCTGTGCTCTCTGGTTGATGACGTGGTAAAGGTAGGCCGCACCGCACCGCGAATTTCCCATATAGGGAGTAAGCTATTACCGTGAGTCTCGTAGTAAGAACTGGACCCGGGACGGATTTACTTTTTCGTTTTGAGGTACCCAGAGGCCAAAACACCCTTTGACCAAATTCTTATAGTGTCCGTTAGCGCGATAGCTCGAGCAAAGATGATCCGATTTTCATAAAATTTAGTACAAACCTTACGTTTATTCGAACGAGTTTGTGAGCTAGCATTATCGGACTATGGGGACGGGTGTTTATGGAGTAAAAACTGCATTTTCAGATTTATTTTGGACCCTAAAAACGTCCCTAAAACTAGGATTGCTTTCATAGCAGTGAAAGCCAGTTGAGCGGAGCGATCACGTTTCATGGGTTTTAACTAAGCAATAAATAAAAAAATGTTTATGGATAAAAATAATACAAAATACAAATAGCCTATTTCGTAAATTTAACTTACCAATCCAGCCTTGGTAAATGAAAATTTGCTTCGTCTGCAGGTTTGCTGCACTGGGATTATTCTTAATCTGGCATTTCAAGAATTTTATAATACAATTAGTATTTATAGTTTATTTACATTTCATCCATATATATTAACTGATGACATTTTATAGATACGCTTCTGTTCGGTAGTCCTATATGTCATGTGCATATTAGGTTTACCTTTGATTTATTGTTATTTTACTAAATTTTACCCCAGCAAATAAAACTATATAGTAAAACTATGTAAGCTTACGTTTATGTTTTAGTAACCAAAGAGTAAAGTGCGCACTATACAAGTCACCCTAAAATAAACTATAAACATTTAATTAGCGCCAGCGTACATTTAAACGTAACCGCAAATATAAACAAACGTCAAAACATACTTCCCCTTTTTCTAATATTATGAGGTAGTCAAGTTTCAGTATATATAGTCATACAGCCAATTACAATTTAGTGATATCAAAACACCGATAGTAAAATCTTCGGGTAGACTTCCGTATCTGTTGGCAAAAATAACCGAATGAAAATATCGATTATTCTATTGTTTCATTCGATATATCGTTTGGCTAGTTAGGTTAGGTTAACCTTACCAAACTAACCAAACAATATATTGAATAATCGATATATCGATCGATATTTTAATTCGGTTGTTTGTGCCAACAGATACGGAAGTCTACCCAAATCTTATACTAAAACATCCCTAATAATCACTACATTACAATGTAACTTTAAATACCTGAGGCAAGCACGGTAGCTCAAAATATGTTGTGCTAATTCAAAAACTAAAATTAATACTACTCAACTAACGTATAAAACAGAGGGTTTCAAAGGTTTTTAATTCTGATACCAAAAAGAAATAGGCTTGTGGAAAATGAAAACCCTGTGACGTCAGTGGAGTTGATAATTAATAGGATGAGCACCATCATAATCATCGATAATCGAGCACAAGGGTTTACAGCTGACGAGCTCTGATCAGCTGTGATCGCCACCATCGTTAATTATCACAGCTGATAAAGGGTCTTTTATGTTATAAATTGAATAAAACACCTTACGTAAACATTTGCTATTTTACCATTCACTAAGACCAATTTACTTGACCCGTTGTAAGTAGACTACCTACTATTTACTATTTACTAATTGCATTGCCTATTTAATTATCTGAAGACTGTTTACGTGTTTTGTACATTTAATGCTGATAAATTAATAGCTACAGTTTTTTTGTGTTTTTTCTTTACTAATTCGGCAAAATATTGATCTATTATCAAATTATTATGTAAGTGTTAGGGGATTGTTTAAATTGTTTTTGTACTGTTTGTAAGTGTTAGGGGATTGTTTAAATTGTTTTTATACTGTTTGTACGAGTAAGTGTTAGGGGATTGTTTAAATTGTTTTTGTACTGTTTGTAATAATTGTTTTTCCCACCAGATGCGTATGAGTAATTTTACATAGATTAAAAGAAGTAGACACTTCTAAACCCCTTTTATCTATGGTAATTATAATGCACCTGTGGCCCTGGGCCAAAATAAAGTGTGCTGGCCTTCCCCGCGATCGCGGCAAAAACGCGATCATCTCCGGCGATCACGAAATCATAATCGTCACCCGTCGTCATAGAGAGTAGGGAGTAGGGCCTATACTTTTATTCGCAACCCTTAGTATTTTGATGTCACCAGCATTTCGTAACTACTCCAAAAGTATAACTAGATCTTATATTGAATTTGCGTTTGATTGCTGAAAAGTTTTTAATTTAAAAAAACATTCGGTAACCTACATATTTACTCTTAAACATTCAAATTCTGTTCAACTACTAGTGGCTTGTAGGGACATAAGTCCCTAAAAAGCTCAAATGTAAAACAACTTTTTGCAATACCGGTATTTAAACAAACTCAGAATAACATTATCTATGTATCAGAATAGGCATCCCTACACCATATCTTTTGTGTAAAAACCAGTTTGTTGTTCTTCTTTGTTTGCTTTTGTTGATGTCATTTTCAATAAATAATTTGAATCACTCTAGTGGTTTAACCTGAAAAGGCAGCAAACATATCATTGTTTGTGAATAAATACTGGTTTACTAAGGTAGCTTTGGTCTTGTGGTTAATGAGGATAAATAAAAGCTTCCCTGTTTGGAATTTTAAAAATTCATTGGAGGTTCGCCTTCAGATGAATTGAAGACGCCTGCAATTTCATCTGCAGTAGGCTTATTATACCTACGACGATCCATATTTATCCTGTCTACAAACCTAAGTTCTTATTCACTGTCACCTTGTACAACCATTTCTTCCGAAGCTCTTTTGTAAATTTGTGCAAATGGATTTTCTAATAGAATTTTAGCTAGTTTTGACAATATTTCAGGTTTTATGTCACTATTTTCTCGACGCCTTTGACGAATTTCTGTTGCTGTTGATGTGTCAATAATGTACAATTGGCCATACACGGGGTCTTCATCATGTTGAGGCAGCAAATCTGAGATTGAACGATAAATCTGTCTTTGAATTTTGAAACAGTATGGTCCTTTTCCTGGAATATCTTTCTTACTGGCTGAAAAATAAGCAAAAGCCATCGCACTGTTGCATTGTCGAATGAATTTATACAGTTGTGGGCTCTCTTCAAACAAACTTTTAAGTTCTACATTAGTTTTTGACTGAGGAAGGTTAATAAGTCCGTTATGGCAACATGTCATAAAATGATTATTCGTTAGTTCTTCTCTAAAATGAAGAGCACTACATTGAATGCACTCTTGGTCCAGTAATCCTGCATCATGGATCTTTACATTTCTCTCGTCTACCATGGGTCTCCTAAAAAGGGGTTGTAACATATCTTGATTAAGTTCGTCATTATCTACTCTTGCTCTCCTACGCGCACTGTCATTCCTATGAACAGTTCCCCGCCTTTGTGGTATTCCCCTGGCGTTCATATTAATTACAGTACCTATAATGAAAAGAATATATATCCAGCAGCCTACATACCAAAACATCTTGAATCCCTGGTGATTTTATAAAAGTATGATCGAATATGATTACTCTACGTTGTATATTCACTGCACTAAAAAAAATTACTTATGAAGGAATGCAAATACACCATTTAGAACCAATAACATTGATAGGTTATTTTAGTTGTATATATTTACACAACCTTAACCTTAAAATGTGTAAAAATATAAAGAAAACAACATCATTTAAAATAAACTTGAACATATGATTTAAAAATAAAAACAAAACAGAAGTTAGATTTAATTTCGAATCTTTGATTATTTATACAGAATATTTATTCTATGTAGTTTATTCCTTTAACACGACAATAACGTAAAAGCATGAAAAAATGAAACTTGAGTATATGATTTAAATATAAACAAAGAATGCAGACGTTTTTCCGACTAATCTTCAATATTTCAGTTTTATTATAGTATACATTTCATAGTTGACTGGCTAAAAGTAAACCAAATGCGTGTATTGATCACTGTTTTCAAATCTGTGGCACAGCTGTTTTAATTTCAAAAGATGTAAACAAATTAAACCCCATGTTGTTTTAATGGGAAAAGTTTTATTCCGTTGCGAATTTATGGTAATAAAAATAATAAAAATTAATAGTTTTCCCTCAAAATTCAAGTCAAGACCTTTAAAATAAGACCCCTCCCATCCTTCTACGGCCATCCAGTCACTCACAATTTCTTTACAAAAATTTGACTTACGGAATTATATATATAGATGCTTAATATGTTTAAAATTGTTCAATAGGTTTTTAATTAGTTTCGAAAATATCCAATTTTGGTCTGTATATGATAACGAAATTCACACAGATGTTTTGTTCAACGTCAATGGTTCGGACGTCAAGGAAGTTTTACCGCCAAACGCACGTGACACGACACGAGAAATTAAGGAATATACCAACGCTGTAAAAGCAACTACAGTATAATGGTAGGCAAAATCCAACAAGGATAGTCCAGCACAATCAAACTTCAGGACATGTTCTATGATTATGTGTGCCGTGTCTATTCTCATGTGAGACTTTTTATGAGTTCAACATTTCATTTCTTTATCAATATTGTAAGCTAGTGCAGAACAAATCGTGACCAAGTTCTGATGTTTTTTTTATTCTTCAAGCATAAATTATAAAATGGTATTTCGCAGACATTTGGTGGTTATTTGGATTTGGATTTTATTTATTTTAGTAAAATTTGATGTCATCTAAAGACAGTTTGTATAAATTGTATTTTCATTAGATCAGTTATTGAAAGTTCGAAAATCTGTCAGTATAATATTATCTCAAAATAAATTTAATTGTATATAGCAAATTAATTTGAGATGGAATATTTAAAAACGGGCTTTTTACTTGAAATTATTATTTGGGTTTTGTGCACTCTACTCATTAGTTTCTTGGACTGTTGGAATGTGAACAAATATTGGTCTTATTTGAATAAACAGTTTAACTTTAATATTTCGTTTACAGGAAAAAGTTTGAAATAATAAAAAACGTCTCAGAATGTTTTAACTTGTTGCAGAAGGTTTGTCATGGATAAAAAAAACATACACGTAAATTTATAAATGCTTGAATATGAAAAAGACTAATCAAAATTACATGTTACAGAAGATTTTTACATATACAAAAACTATACACAACACCCAGAAATTTGTTTATGAACATTAAAAAATCCAATCCAATATTTGAACAAATCTTACAGTTATTTTTTTATAAATTAAGAAAGAAAGTTATTATATATATAGTAAACAAAAAAATAACCAATTCTACACTATGTACAGACAAAACTCTAATTTTATTTATATATATTATTAATTGGCTATGATATTACAGTTGAAACTAGTCGTTGTATAATAAAATTAGTTTTAAAAGGGTACTTGGTTTTCAATAATGTATTTATATATCAAAATAGAAGCCCTAATCACTATAATTTTCATAAAAAAACTTGTCTCATATTTTTCTTCAGACTAAACCTATTTCCATCGGGAAGTATATGAGAGCCATGTTTGAACAAGCAATTTAAACCTATTCATAGAAGCAATTCTTCAGAACCCACTTTTGGTTATTTAGAAAAAGTTTTACCTTGGCTTATAATTTTCTAAATTGGCCAATCAATAGCAAATCCAAACTCTCAGATCTGAACAGAATTGAATTCTTATAATACTTTCTTTTTAAATGGCGACCATATTAAGTTTGGATTGATAAGGCATAAACTAAAACTATAATACTGAACAAAATAAAATAAAACACGAGAAGAGTGGATTGATTAGATTAAACTTGCCTTGTATCTCTAAAGTGATGCTGTAGATCAATAATACTGCAGTACACACAAAGCATGGCCTTGGAGTTATGTAGGGTTGAAACTTTGTCAATGTGGCTTGGACTTGAATACATCACAGGCTTGTCTAGTGATGTATTATTTCCCCACTAAACTACTTTTAGCCACAAAGGCATATGTATTGAATGCCATGACTAACATAACTAGACCTTTGCCTAAAATTAACTATCCATAGGAGCATTACTCAATGCTAAAAAATCTTCAGTCTGATGTGGCGTACTACTATAAACTGAAGACAAGCTTAGAACTATATAATTCAAATATTGGTTTTACAAGTATTTATTTAACTTTGTATAAAATCCAATTGATTCTTAATTATTTTCTACGACCTTCTAACTATTTTCTTGCAATTAATATAATAATGGTGAGTGTTCCTATTGCAAATTTAAGATGACACCACTAGTTGCAACCCAATTTAGGAAAAAGTGACGATTATTAATTTATTTAATTTTTTCAGGTGTTAAGAACACTGACAAACCTGAAGCGCAGGATAGCAGTGGCCGTACTGCATGAGAAGAGTGCGAAGAAACCAGTCAATCAGCTGTCCCAGTGTCCATTCCATCTTAGCATCACCTCCCTAGACAAACATCCAGACAGTCGCAGCATAGACACAGTGATGACGTGGCTGGACGAGGGGCTGCACCAGGAGGTGGCCGACAACAGATTCAACGAGAGGATAGAGAACTGCCGGGGGTTTGTGAAAACGTCAGTGTGAACTGTAAAGCGGATAGAAATGTGTTACCTGCGGATAGACTGAAATGATAACAACCTGAAACCTGAGATGATAAAACTACTGAGTGTATTCCACAGGACTGGAAGTGGACATTTAAACTATTGAGTGTGTAGAACATGGATTGATAGGGACGGGAAGGTAACAATTTTGAAAATCTGAGGATAGACTAGGAGTGAAGATTGTCAAAACTGAGTGAATTGGACTTGATGGATTGGCTGACCCAAGAACATACTAGAAGTTAAGGAAACTGTGAATTGACTAAAACAGATCATTTTAACTGTTGTGCTCTATAAATAGGCTGGAAACAGAGATTTTAAAATAACTATGGAACTAGATTTTAAACGGAAGATACTTTTAATTGTGTGTGATAAAAATAAGAGAAGTGTGTAAAAGCTATAGCGTCCACGGTTTGAAAGACTACCAAATTTTAATTGCTGTGAAAAAAATTGGAAGAATGTGTAAAAACTCTAATGTGGTTTGTATCGTATCAGAGATTGTTTTTGAGGTGAATACCAGGTAGACTAGGGTATGTGAAAAACCTAATGAGAGAAATGTGAAGAAACATACCTAAGTTAAATGACAAAGAATGAAAGATCTGTGAGTGAAAAAACCTCGATCACTGTCATGTGATCTTTATGAAGTGATAAAAATGTGAATATCATCCCTTTCAGTGTTATTAGTTTGTATGAATGTCATTTTAATAGAACTTAAATGAAAGCCTTGTTTACTGATTTTAGTCCTGAAATATCAGGTTCAAAACCTCCAATACCCACATCAGTGGCTTTATGCTGAGACTGGATGGTTAATCTAATTTATAGTCCATCTTTCTATAACAAAAATAAGAACGGTCCTCTTTGACAGATCACTTTGCTATGCAAATTTATTTTCATAAACAAAACATATTGATAGCCTAGTGGTTTTTAATACAAGAACTTCCTTAGTTTGCTAAATACTTCTTATGCTTCCCAGTCATTTATTCAAACAAACTCCAAGGCATTTTTCATTACTAATTTTTAATGAATACTATCTGTTACCTAAAAATATTTATTCCCGAATATCTGGCACTGAAAGGGTTGAATGCTTTCACAATGTTTTAAACACCAACCTATAAGTATTGTTATTACCGATCCACTGTAATTATTTATTTACTGTTTCAGTAAACCCTATGCATAGTTAGTTCCATTGACTATTGGATATTGAAGTATTAATAGTCAAAGGTTAGTTCCTAATATTTTGTTACCATGTTTTTTAAGATTGATATAGTACTTTAAGGCCGATATTTTTAAGACTATACTGATTAATTTTACATTCATTGAAGATTTAACAAACTATTTTTATTATTTTTTCCAACATTTACAAATTGACGTTTCTCATCCAACAAATTGATTACCTTCACGTTTGAGATTAAAATATTTATTATATTTTTACTGTTGTACGGTACTGACTTTGTAAGCAAATAATGTTTTAAAAGTTTTAGAAAATTATGCCTATAGTAATAATTACTGTTATCTTCATCCAAATTACTCAAAACATTGATGCACTGTTTCCTTTATGTTAAAATAAAATGAAAGGAACCTAAGACTGAGAAGAGGTGTCCCCTATAATTGGTCACTTTGAGACTGAAATTTCAGCAAAACAACAATTTAATCGATTAAAGCAACTTTAAATTAATCAAATTACAGTTATCCATAGACTAAGAGTGTTTAAGCAATAAAAAGTTTATGTTGTGGTTCAAATTTAAAACAGAGATAACAAAATTGTTTACAGAAAAGAACCCCATTTCGACAAAGTGTTACCATCAGTTAAAGATGCCCCCTTGCACAGTTGCTGATCATGGGAAATGAGCTTAAAGCCGCATAAAGAAAATGTTTTACTAATTAAGGATGGATATTAAATACCAAAAGTAAATATACCTCGGGGATACTACAATTTGCATAAGTTAGGACAATAGTAAGAATTTTTTTAGGAATCCTCTAAATAGTCAACAAAACAATTCCTTACTTTGGGTTTGCGTTGGCATTTGTAACACAAATTACACCACCAAATAGAATGGAAAAATGTATTTAGTTAGACAATATGTGTTTCAGTTCGATCACAGACTACAATATAGACTATAGACCAATTAATGGTCTATTGTCTGTGGTCCAATGTACTATGAAGTAATAAAGAAACATACCAATGACATTATATTGAACTTCCAAGTTGAAGAATTGGTTCCACTGTAATTGCAAAAAACTATTCTCTATGAGCGAGATCAATCTGATTTAAGACATGTTTTTATAAAAATGAATGACAAAAGAATTTTACTTGTGTAGACAAATGACTGCTCAAATGTATTTAAAACTTTATTTTGTAAGAAAACTTTAAATAAGGAGTTGTGAATATTATTTAAGTTAAACTTATTTAAATGTAAGTTATTTAATTAGTTAGGAACAATAAAGTAAGAATTAAAAAATATTATGATAGTGATATATTTTACGTTACATAAATAAATCTTTAAAAGCTTTTTTTGTGTTTGACTCCAAATCCCATTTCATCGTGAGCATGCATTTAGCAGAAAATTAGATAATGGTTTCTGAACTATATGTTATTTTTTTTTTATCTGAATGTTAATGCAATTGATTTATATAGGCCTACAGGTAACACTCTGATAGCATAGCACAGTTTAAATTGTTCCAAATTATTGCCATTGCAAAAGAAAGGGTTAACTAACTTCTTGATCAGCTTTACAGCTCTTTGTTAAATTTACAGAAATTAAATAAAAATATGTCTAATACCACTTGAAATATATATTTACTCCCAAAAATATAAATATATTTAAAATATATTTATTTGTTGACTCCCAATACAGTAAATACATGTAAACAATTGTTCTGTAAGTGGTGACCGATTTCGATTGGACACTCCAATCATCATGACACAATAGGCAAATGACATTTCGCCAAGTATTTTATGCACCAAATGAGTTATAATGAAAAGTGAACAAAAAAATACCAGTCTCTTTGGTTAAATCAAACAGCAGCACTTGATACAAATTCTTTATTAATGAGAAATGGAACAGTTAACATAGCTCTTTGAAAACTTGGGATACTAGAAAAGAGTAAAGTTTTAAGATAATCTATATCCAAACTATTTTATCAAAGGCAATTTAAACATTGAGCTTTCTCAACATCCTAAAACTAAATCTAGTAACAATTAAAAAAATGCTAACAAAGACATTGGATCAAGGAAAGTTAAACTAGTACTACAACTACAACTCACACATATTAGGTTGTAGTTTGTCCTCTTTCTGACTTAAAAACACTCCTAATACTGATCTTCCTAAAGGGAAAAATTAACAAAATGATATTTTCTCCTTAGCATAATTAACTCAGCCTATTTTTACTTAACTTATAGCTTTCCATTAAAGCTTGTTTAGTGGCTATTTCAAAATCAAAGGTATTTATATCTATCAAATACTTATAACAACTTTAAATAATGATCACTACCAATCCACAAAATTAAATCAAGTAACACAATACAAAATTATATCTAAGACCTGACCTATCAATACAATTTTTAACCATATATCGAGATAAATTACACGATAACATTATTCATATCAACTAAGAAACAATAATTAAATATACTGTAGTTGTAGTTTGTATTAGCAGCGGCTTCTTAATACACATTTAGATAAAAGGTAATTACAAATTCTTGATATTTGAGAGAATTTTGCGGCGTTTAGGCTGTGGAGCTGACTGTTCATGAGGAACATTTTCATTTACCTAGAACATTAAATGTTGAAATTTAAAGTGATACTATAAATCATGTCTTTACATTTTTAAAGGGTGCAGATTATAAAGCAAACCATTTTTAGTCTAATGTTTAAATATCTGATCCAATTTGTATTTAAGTTCTTAATAAAGGTTTTGCACCAACGAAGATTTATTTACAAACCAGGACCTATTTCTTCCAGGATTGATACAATGACTATAGGTCAGTGCTTTTTATTGTCGTCAATCCACTATCGATTATGAGTAGATCATCACTCAATTTTCAAATCTCATAAGATTGACAAATTGTAAAAAATAAATATTTTCACAAGTCAAGAACACATTTAAAAACATCAATACCGTAGGAAAATAAATAATACAAAATTAGGTAACACAATTGTCTGCCCGGCCAAACAAACCAAGTCAAACCGAATGAATGTGTTTTTGATATTATGAGATTTGAAAGTGGATAAATAATGCTTTAAAACTAGCCTATGCTGATGTACTTACTAACGCACTATGGCAGTGCGTTAAAAATCGCCTGATTACTGACTATTAACATCCGCTATCCTGGTAATGGCGGCTATTTTTAGTTGCCGCTCAGTATGCCACAATTTTGGTAATCCAGCACCGAAAAATTTCCAAACATACCAGATTAGTAAGTGTCTACTATACCGTACCATTAATTGCAATTTGGTCCTTCATTGCTTGTGATACCAAATTGTAGGTAAAGTAGACTCGGCCCTCTAGTTCGGCCACCTTGGGACGGGACCACTGGCCGGACTACAAAATGGCCGGTCTAACTGGATGTATTATGAAAGGTTAAAATATTCCTATTAAATTAGTTACACTTAAAAATCAACAAATAGCATTACATTCTTTTACGACATTATTTACCAAAATTAGGCTTCTGACGTCTCTTTCTAGAGTCGTCTTGTTTCTTATAGATGCATTTTTGCAACACTGGACTGATTCGCCCCAATCAACTCACTCTAGAATGACGAGTCTTTGTTCTATTGTCACTCACGTATGTTTGTTTTTCACTCATTTTGGAAGATATTTTCCTAACAGTAAATCCACATACGCCCTATAGAACTCACGTTTACTCACAACATTTACCTCCAAAAGCAATCTAATACTGTAGGGTAAAAAACCATACAAATACAAGATCACAAATTAAAACGCACTGCTTAATACAACCGCAATATGCAACGGTTCACCACTAAAAGCACCCAACTTAAGAGACATAAATTGTTTGCTTTTATGGCCGGAAACTAAACATTGTTGAATCCTGTCGAAATTCGCCCGTGACGATATGACTAATTGTCCTCTCAAGACCGGGCCGAACCATCCGGCGGCCGATCCAACAGAAGCTGATCTAGAGGGAGTCTACTGTATATGCACCATCGAAAATAAAAATTACAAAAATCTATGGGGCTTAATACTATGATTAGGGATGTGTCAATTCTCAATACCAATTAATTCACAATACCACCAATTCTTGAACATTAAAATCAGTATTGAGAATCAATCGTGAGTCTATACCAATACTCAAAATGTCTGCAAAGATCACACTATTGAAATTATAAAATGGGAATATTGTCGGGAATATTTTCTTTAGCCCAGGAAGATTCCTAAAAATTCGGTATTTATGATTATTTCAAGATTTGGAATGTTTTACTACTTATTAACAGTAAAGGACCTTAATACTAATGTTGGCTAGATAAATTATTACATTTTAATCCAAGAAATATCATTCCATGCAATCATTTCCTGTACTTAGACAAGTGGGAATTTATTGAACTCAATTTGAATTCTCAAACCATTATTAATACGTAACTCAAGCATTTACAATGGTAATAAGGCTAAGCAAGTCAGGTTTACCTAATTTTGCCTTATTTAACAGCAAACATTTTTTATATTAAAGCTATTTTTTATTAGATATTTTTTATCTTGGTGTTGTTTGAATACTAATATATAATAAAATGCTAATACAAGGTATTGTCAAAAGTTGTCACAATATCAGCCAAATAGCCTATTTAGTAATTTAAACTTTAAATATTTCAATGGACACCATTTAAAAATATTCAATTTGACAAAGTTAATCTGTTTTTCTAACATTGGTCCCTTTAACATTACATACTAAGTTTCAAATAGATTGGTTGGAACAAATCAAAGATTTAAATGTTTATGTAATAAAACATTTAATTTTGGAATACAAAATTTAATTCTAATTTTTTTTTCCCGTGGAACAATTTCTTGGAGTTTGGCGGTTTACTTTAGAGTCTTCATCAGTGGTAGCCATCTTGAATCTTAGTCCCTTAAGACTAATACTAATGTTGACTTTGTGACGGTATTAAATCCCTTCCGATTGTTGTAAAGATATAATTTTGTTGTCAAATTAAAGGTATGGTAGTCCTCTAGCTAATGTATTGCCTAAATTGTTCATTACCAGGCCAAATTTGAAAATATAAATAAATTAGTGAGTAATAAATAAAATATTTTTTAATTCTCTGGTATTTTACACCACCTACCATGATGGCGATAGATTCTCACCCTTTCGTCGCAATTACGTGGAGGTCAGCTAAGACTATGCGAAGACGATTAAAAGATCTCCACAACCACAGGAGTTAAATCACATTATGACCTCGAGCTTGGCCTGCTAAAAAATGTCAAGCTAGCTCTATTCCCGTTATAATTAAAATTTCCTTTTAGTAATTAAATTGTTTGCAAGATCTTTTAACTTTATTTATTCAATGTATTAAGAAGAGCTTACATGTGAATTGGTTATTTTGAATTTTTCATTGCTGCTTTAAAAGCATTGTATTGGTATTGAGAATCGATAAATTTTGGGATTGACACATCACTACTTATAATAATTATTACTTTTAAGCTTAAATTAATAAAAACTACCTCACTAATTTTGTTTTTCTTTCCAACCTTCACGTTGATAACTGTTGCAGCGGAGGAGGGTTCGGTTTCCTTAAAAAAATAAAATAATATTGATAAGTTTTTTTTTCAACAAGCAATGTAATAGCTACAGCCTTTAGTGGTTTATCCCTGAACTAATGTTTATTTACTGAATTCTTGCAATCGGAGGAGTTGTTATTAAAATCTCAATAAAGGTGCTTTGAGGTTCTTCTATTTAGGATGCTGTGGTTGGGCCAATTGCACAAAAAAGTAAAATTATCAATCATAAACGAGCAAAAAATTATGAACTTATAAGTTGGTTTCAACTAGGGCCGCTTAAGTTGGCCACTTTTTTATAACTCGCACATGCAAACTTGCACCATTTTGTCCAGTCACTTAAAAACAAGTTACAAAATATTTTTAATCATGCACTGTTTCCTTCATGCAGATGTTATTAGAGTATTCCTCCTTATTCAGTAAATTACTATAGGTTACTGATTTCTTTTAAACATTATGAAGATGATCATTATGAGGTTATGAAACACTAACGTTGGTAGTATTACTTATCACTGCCTTTAAATAAATACAAAACTTACCATATCCTGGTTGTCACTACAATTAGGCTGACTGAAATGACGATCTAAAATGTTCTCCTTCAAACCTTCTTTTACTCTTCGACTACCCCTGGAAATGTCCAAATACATTAAAGGCTATACGAGAGAAAATTGTATTATTAGAAACCTATGACAGCACATTAATGAACCTCAGTAATTGTCAGAAACATTTAAAAGGTTTTAGTTAGTACAATAGTATACTGCAATTTATACACAACCTATTCTGTGTGATAAATTGTCATGGCCTTTATTTGATAAGTAAAAGACCACAAATACTTAAACTATGCTTTTATTAAACATGTTTCCAACTTTTAACATCTTTTGACAAAAAGTGTAAACATTGAACAATCAAATACTCTAAGAGACACCAAGGGAAGAATGGGGAATGTCCATCGTACTGGGACTGTAAAGTATTTCTTTTGGGAGCGTTTGAAAACACTTAAATGCTATTTTCTTAAATTCACGTTTTTGTGACATTCCCCCTTATTGCTCTGGTGTCTTCAGGCTAAGGTGTAACACTGACACGTGTAGCATTGAGGTATATCTACATGTGCAATCCATACTAAGCTCAATAATATATTGTGGGTTAGCTGGCAAGAGAGGCCCTCCTTAAATAAACTGTGTCTAGCATAATAAGGTGACAGCATTATTGAGTTTAATAGGGTAGGGATTGCACACAACACCTGTTTTGCTTCCATTTTACATTAGTAGGCCTATATAGAAGGAGTGCGGTACGCAGATCTGTTCTCTTTTTTTACTTTTTTTAGGTAAACATGTACATGTCTTAAAAAAACAAATATATTAAAAAAGACATCAAAGGACAACCATTAACTAGGTGTACAATGCAGTTGTCTGCTTGCAATATTGAGTGGAGCAAGCCTCTTGCAGTGTACAAAGTCAATGCTACATCTGTTTTACGTAGATGGGATTTCTACTAGCAGTATCCAATGTCAATGGCTCATCTGGCTCACATAAATGAGATGTCTACTTGCAGTATACAAAGTCAATTGTGCATCCAGTTCACATTTGGTCCACATAAATGGAATGCCTACTTGCAGTAGCTTAAACCAATGCTGCATCTGTTTCACGTAATTAAGAAATTTACTTGCAGCATCTACAGTCAATGGTACGTGTGGGCAATATCCAAAGTCAATGGTATATTTGGTTCACATTCATAACATATCTCGCCGCCGTGTAGACATTATACGGTAATCATCTTCTGCGATAGCCGGAAGATTAGATCATATCCCACAGCAGTTCAGGCATCATTATCGGTACCTACGGTCGTGTAAACATCATCATATTCTTCGCAATTACGACAAAATGCTGAAAATTTACCGCCATTGCGGCAAAATTCTTATCGTCTTCCACAGTCATCTAGACATCAATACAGTGGAGTCCCGATAATCCGAACTTCGGTAATCCGAAAGTCCGCTTAATCCGAAACCAAAAAATATATTTTTTAATTAAAAAAAAATTTGAAAATTTTTTGAATTTTTTTTGAAATTTTTTGAAATTTTTTTCAAAATTTTTACAATTTTTTTCGAAATTTTTTGAAGTTTTTTGGAAAGTTTTTGAATTTTTTTATTAAACTTTTGACACAGTTAGCTGTACCTCGTCAAAGTATTCTGTAGCGGCTGGGCGAGATAGACTTTTTTGTAGAGTATTTTAGTAAATTAATATTACACCATTTTTGTTATTACCGTAACATTTTACATTTTCGTCCGCCAAATCACAAATGGATTTTACTAAGTGATAATGCTGCAGCCAATAGGTCTAGCCTTAAGTAATGTGAAAAACAATCCCGGGCTCGTGCCTGCGTCCGAAAAAAAGTAGTAAGAATAAGACAAAAAAAAATCAAAAAAAAAATTTCAAAAAGATTTCAAATTTTTTTTTTTAATTAAAAAAAACAAAAAAAAAACAAAAAAACGTTTAATCCGAAATATTCGGTAATCCGAAATGGGCCCGGTCCCAACCATTTCGGACTAACGGGACTCTACTGTATCATCTTTTACGGTCACAGAAACGTCATCATTGTCTTGGTGAAAGCGCTAATTTTTCAATAGCTCGATCTTCCCATAGGTATCAAAATCGCCATTGACTTTTGACGATTGATTCTCGATACCGATAGCAAATTACAAGTATCAGTGGAATTGAGAATCAGTTTCAAGAATTGACACATCCCTAATTTTAAGTTGTACCTCCTAAAATCTTATCATTGTCATAATAAAATATTAATGCAATTTTAATTTTACCATTACTGTAGTAATAAATTATTTAAGTTGTAAACATCAGGTACCCATTTATGATCTCCTAACAAACTGCTGCAGATCGCGGAAAGTTAGAGCACCAAGACTGATAATTCTGATGTCAATTCTGGGTTTTTGTGAAAAACCGGGACATTAACAACAGACCCATCTTTACTTTTAACCAGGAGACCTAGAACACAGTTAATCAAGAGCTAAATATTCTAAACTTCTAAATACTGAAGATATTCAACCATCCAGTATTGCAAGATAGTACTTAGAAACCCACTGAGACTAGACTCACCCTTTGTTGATGGACGGCTCGAAACACCCTTCAGAATCTAATCTTTGCATGAGTTTCTCAGCCATGCGTCGGGGCACCTTGAGAGTAGTAATTAGCTTGTTGCAAGACACTTGAGTGTTGTTGCAGCAGACCATGAGTGCTTGTCTGTAAAGGGCTCCTTCCTGCAATGTAGAGTGTATTAAATAAGTCTAATTCAAGTCTAACCTTTAAAATCACTTTGTGAATCTTTTTTTATTTTTTAGTTCAAACCATAATTTTAAAAGTTGCATTTTCAAGTATCCATTTCCTTTTTATAGAACAAATTTATAAAATAAAAACACAATTCACAAATACCGGTAACAAATCGAGGCAACACGGAAGCAACACATGAACTGTGGTTATGATACTTCCTGGTGTGGATTAACGTCCACACTAGTGAGTACCAAGACTAAGCAGTACTATCCTGATTATTGGACCAATTTGTTAATTACAAGGCAAAATGTGGTTTGGATTCCACTATAGGTATGGTAGGTCCCTTAGTTGCCATTGGCTGTATGCTGTATGGGCTATTAATTAACAGCTATGTCTAAGGAACATGTCAGCCTTAGTCAGCTGTGTCAGCCTATCTGTGTCCAAATACAAGACTATTTGTGTCCATGTAGAAGACTATCTGTATCCAAATACAAGACTATCTGTGTCCATGTAGAAGACTATCTGTGTCCAAATACAAGACTATCTGTATCCATGTACAAGACTATCTGTATCCATGTAGAAGACTATCTGTGTACAAATACAAGACTATCTGTGTCCATGTAGAAGACTATCTGTGCCCATGTACAAGACTATCTGTATCCATGTACAAGACTATCTGTGTCCATGTAGAAGACTATCTGTGTACAAATACAAGACTATCTGTATCCATGTAGAAGACTATCTGTGTACATGTAGAAGACTATCTGTGTCCATGTACAAGACTATCTGTATCCATGTACAAGACTATCTGTATCCATGTACAAGACTATCTGTGTCCATGTAGAAGACTATCTGTGTACAAATACAAGACTATCTCTGTCCATAAAGAAGACTATCTGTGTCCAAATACAAGACTATCTGTATCCATGTACAAGACTATCTGTGTCCATGAACAAGATTATCTGTATTCATGTACAAGACTATCTGTGTCTATGTACAAGACTAACTGTGTCCATATATAAGACAATCTGTGTCCATATACAAGATCTATGTACAGTATTGTATAATGATATGGATAGTCAGGTATATGGACAAAAATAGTCTTATATACAGGGTGATTGATATAAGTGTGCCAGCCGTTTTATTCGAAAACTATAAGAGATATCAAAAAAAGTTAAAAGGTAAGTGCCGTGGATTTTTTATTTAAAAAATTGTTGTCAAGTCAAAAAAATTATTTTAGCCACTTCTTTCCAATATGGCCACCAACTTTGATTTTTCTTATGGAACACCCTGTATTTTATGATGTATTCTAGGAGAAAATGTAATTTTAAGACGATTTTATTCTTGTGATTTTTTTCATAAACCTAACCGTTTCAAAGATAATAATGGTTTAAGTTGTGAAATTTTGAATGGATTTCTAATAAAACAGCTAGCATGCTTGCTTAGGCCTTTATCGAAATTCTTTCTCATGCAGAAATTTCAAAACTTTAACCATTATTATCTATGAAACGGTTAGGTTTATGAAAAAAATAACAAGAATAAAATCGTCTTAAAAACACATTTTCTACCAGAATACACCATAAAATACAGGGTGTTCCATAAGAAAAATCTAAGTTGGCGGCCATATTGGAAAAATGGTGGCTAAAATAATTTTTTTGACTTGACAACAATTTTTTAAATAAAAAATCCACGGCACTTACCTTTTAACTTTTTTTGATATCTCTTATAGTTTTCGAATAAAACGGCTGGCACACTTATATCAATCACCCTGTATAGATGCAGGTAGTCTTGTGTCCAGTGTGAATTCAGAGTCAAGACCCCCTAATATTTTTATTAGTAAACAGAGATATCCTTTTGGTGGTCATGTAATCTTAGCAGTAATAGCAGTCTTGTATATGGACACAGATAGTCTTTGACATTGCCTACCCAGTTATTGACATATACTGTCATATTACCTCTGAGCCAATTTTTGACGTCAACAAATACTGTGAAATTGCCTAGCCACATGAGTTAAAAAAACCCGTCCTTAAAAAACGTATCTGGATCCAGTACCAACATTTTCTTGGATCCGCCCATAACTATTCACTACTATTCTCACCCCTAGGGGATGATTAGTATGATCATAAGCTGTTGTGAAAGAAAATTGACGATCCTGCCAAGTATAAATTTTGTTATGGGGATAGTTTTGTGTAGGAAGCAGGTCAATCTCTGGTTATTGTTGTTGCCAGTTGACTGATGTGTATACTGTATACAGAGATGTGGTTTGACAAATAAAATGTGCATTAGTGACTTGGGGAGTGTGCAAACGGCCTTACATATTAATCAACAATGATGAAGTGGGTGTTCATCAGTTTCCATCGTGTCAGTAATTAAATTTGTAAGAAAATTCCCCCCAACTTTGGTGAATGAGACTGATGCCTACACCATCAGGCACCATCTGGTCTTATGCAGACTCCTACACCATGGGAACATCATTTACATGTTTACAGCCATCTCCAGCCTTTGTGCAAATTTTTTACTTCCAACACTTAACTCCATTCACGTTCGTCTCAGATTTGAATTAGCTTGCTTGGTTGCCACGGTAGCGCGAGGAGACTTTAATTTACGGGCAGCCCCATACTGTTTGACATTTAAATAACTAATGCTCGGTCCTTTAAGACAAAATAAATTCTGAACTGAAAACTCTCCTAGAACAATAGTTAAATTATAGGCGGTAGGACATTTTTTTAGGGATTAGAGCAAATTTTACATGAGATAAATATAATTCTTTCAACAAGCAGAGTAGCTGAATGTTGATAGAGGGAGAAATGTCTTTCTCCATCTTAATGTTAAGCCCAATGTCAACATCTCCATGTTAATGTTGTTGCCAGTTTGACGGAAATTGACGGAGTAGAACTGAGCTACCAAAAGAATAAAACTTACTCGTGTAAATTTCTGATTTCTGTCAGATATGCCAACTTTGAACCAAAACAAACTGATATGACGACTTATTGTAAGCTATAGCATCTTTGATGACACAACCAGTTATTTCATAAATAGAAACTAAAACATAAAAAATTGAATTTTAGAGTGTAGTGGCACAATTTGTGAATGGATTATTCAACTATGTTCTTTTTAGTAAAACTAGGCTCCAGCTGGCCCCATAGATGGGGTGTCTTCTTCAGTATTCTAAAGGTAATGATTAGTAGGTACATTTCCTCTTTAATTATGACTGGATCAAACTAGGAGAAGAAAATTTACCGACCTTTCTGTTATTGTCAGAGAGGAGGTCAGGAACAGTGCAGGTCTTTCCCAGCCCAGGGTTGTGGCAGTTTACACAGATATGACTATCAACTTGGTGGCATTTCTGTAGCTTGTAGCATACCTGTAACATCAGACTACGGTTACTGATGTGGATTGTGTTTACCATTTCAGACAGGAGACACTCACGGCTCTATTGCGGTCACAAAGGAAGTATTCAATTTTACCACAACCGCAGGCCGCTTACTTATTTTCTTGTGACTGTGGACGTTTACGTTCATTTTCAATTGTTCACTCTTAAGTTGTAATCGCAAAAGATGTTCCCCGCCGTTCGCTACTAGTCTACTATATGTTAATGGGAAACGTTCACAGTCCCTTCGACGATTTTACCATGACCGCAGAGGACGAGAACAATTTGGTGGTAAATAAGAAGAATTTTGTTTGGTTTTATTTTGATTTGTTTTCATGAATTCATTAAAATTGTAGAAGTAGTTCAAGCCGACTATAGTAAACAAAATTATTTTTTAATCAACATTTGTCAAATCAACCTGGATATGACAATACCAGATTTTAACACAAAACCTTAAGGTCAATATTTTGGACCCGATCCAAAGTAATCAAGTAGGCCTACCTACTAGAGTAGACCCTCTATAGTCCAGCACTCCAGTAAATCGCGGCAAAATTCTCCCGCGGTCGTGTGGACATTATTGTTGTCTTCCACGATTGCGGCAAAATTCTGATCATCTCCCGTGGTTGTCTAGACATTATCATTGTCTCCTGCGGTTACGGAAACGTCATCATTGTCTTCAACAATCATGGAAAAATCATAAAGATCCCCCGCGGTTATGTGGATATTATTTATCGTCTCAGAAACGTCATCGTCGTCATTCGTGAGTTGCAGCAAAATTCTGCCACCGGGGGCCTCACAAATTCGAATACGACCTTGACTATGACACGAACATTTTTTCTGTTGGATAGTCAGAACAAAAATGATTTGAATACACTGATCAGAATATTCACCTTATGTTGAAATAGTGAGCACGAGCTGCATTTGATGATTTCATCTGAAACATCACTGCATTCACAGATGCAGCACACTCTCTTTTCTTGCAGACTGACCATGGATAGTTTGTCAGATAGGTTAGTACCAACACTGCTGCTTGAGTTGTTGACAACTTCTATGTTTTCTGAAAAAAAAATGGTCTTTTCATTTCTAATATGTAAAAAATCAAAATGATACTGTCCCAGCATTGTTGACAAGGTTGAGCACACTTTCTTCTTTTGTGGCAGGTGACATGTCCGTGAACCTGGAACTATGTCAAGCAGTTAACCAAGGCCATACTTCGAGCTAAGAAGGTCGATCTTGATCAGCCTTAGCCTTTGAAAGAAATAAGAAGGGAAAACCTAGAGCATAGTTTTAAAGTAATGTGCTAAACAATTCCAGGCTAGTGTCCTAGGAGATAAGGGGTTTTTTAGCCAGTAATCTAGGGACATTGAGCCTGCGGGTGTCCGGCACTACTAAGAGGCCATTGAGCATCTCAGTGTGCGTAAATGCATTTTTCCTCCTCCTCACAAAAAAAACGTATAACTGAGACAGAGTAGAGTAATGAAGAGAGTTAGCTAAGCTGTAGAGAAAAGTTGCTGTTCATTTTCCTATTACTGGATATTGAAGATTTAAATAATTTCAATAATCTGTTACCCTGTTCAATATCCTTTGATCAAAGAATATTGAACAAGGTAACAGTTTTATTTAATCATAGAAAAGTAAGGCTGTAATCTGATGTCTGTCAGTGGTTTAACAGAAAGTGTACATATATTGAAACAAAGTGTGGAAAAACTTAAGTTTAAGTTATGATTCCAGATAAATAATAAGCTTAGTTTAACACTGGTTTTAAACATTAAAGGAATAACATGAGTGTAACAAAGCTCATGAATTTTGAGGATGTTGTGTTCTAGGATCTTAACAAAAAATTCAAGAATGTCAGATCGTCTTTCTTTAAATTGACTGAGGCTGCCACTCTAGACTCAAGTAAAGAAAATTATATCATTTTTACTTGTCGGATTGATCTTGATGAACTGGGATAGCCTTGCTTGAGAACTTCCCTTCGGAGAAGGAAGCACAATCTCATCTGAGTCCTCCTGAGGTGGTATTTCATCTTCTGCTAATAGTTCTTCACTATCAAGTTCCTGAAACAGAAAACAATGTTGACTTTTTGAGACACCCAATTTATGCACACCATAAAATAACAGTCATGGTATATGGTCCTCCCGAGCGACTGTAGCGCCACCAGCAGGCCATTCTCAAATGCTGTTTATTACGCGCAGCCACACTCACGGACCACAGCGCTACCACACAAATTAGCACCACAAGTGCTAGCCTCTCATTAGCTGAAATAAAATTATTCACATTCTTGTGGGATACGTATAAGTCACCTTCTATTTTTTTCTTAAAGTTCATCAAAAGAAGTGTTTAGAAGACTATTTTTGAAAGTCCAGGCTGGTCCCATGGATAAGTACAGAATAATCTAAAGTAAACTTTTTTGTGGAGCATATAGTTTGATGTTTAATCAAAGGAAGGAATTATCATCCAAGTTATTTAATCTATAATGTTAAGTATATGTTACAATCAAGTACATTACCCTGTTCATAGAGGACTTTGCTGACACAGAAAAGGTAGTGTATTTTGACTGAACTTTTCCAAGCTTGAGCGTTTCTGCTTCGAAGGGAAACTTCAACTTGTCATCATCAGAATGCTCAAAAAATTTTGGAACCAAATCTGCTGGAACTGAAAAAAATGTGCTTGAGAAGCCTACTACATAAAGTTAAAAACTACTTTTAAAACTTGAATAAAACATATACATATACATATGTTGACCCATAAAGTAATAAGGAATCATGAAAAGTAACCATTTTCCCCGGTTTGAAATTGAAGTTAAAAAAACTTAAACCATGTCCTTGCACAGATCTCAAGCATCTATTTTAATGATCATTATTTTATTTTCAATTATAGGCCTACATAACAAACTACGGTACTATAAATTGCAAGTACTCTACTGTGGTTTAAAATTTGTTAATCATGATTTATAATACAGTCTAACCTTGATATAACGAACCTCGATATAACGAATTCCTTGATATAACGATTTTTTTTTAATCCCCTAGAACTCTCCATAAGACACAATGTATATTTTACCTCTACATAACGAACAAACCATAACAACGACCTTGATTTAAAAAAATTTTCGTGATTTCGGCTAAAATAAGACACCTCAATATAACGAATTTGTCATTGTCAGAACCTCTACATTGCGAATTTAACCTCTGCATAACGAATTGTCTACGTCTTTCCCTCGATATAACAAATCCCCCACCCAATTATTGTTTTGGGAAAATCTGTTTCTTTATCAAATTAAATGGAAAGGTCATGTCATCGCTTGCGCTAACATTCGTCTGCTCCGTTTTACATCTTTGTCTGCTGTCGCTGCGCGCGCTATGTTGCAACAACTGAGAACTGATTTCATTGACTGAGGACTGATGATGACGTAATGTTTAGTAAGCTGTGATTGGGCGATATGGGATAACTATGGTGAATTGTAAAATTTTTGGATAAAGAGAAACCCAAGAAAGAATATAAAAACAAAACCAAAGAGAAAGAATAGCAACATCGTTATTTTAACATTCCTTTTACGAGTGTTTTTATTATCCTTAAGTTGGCTATGATTATACACTTTTATAATGACTTATCTAATAGTTTATTGTTTTCAATACGATTTGTTTCAACTAGCAACACCAATGCTATAGTTAAATAAATAAATATAGGATGGAGAGGACACAGCTAACTCACCTGATGAAAGGTTGCACACGAGTCAAAGAACTTGTATGTGTTCTTTGACTCGTCTGCAACCTTTCATCAGGTGAGTTAGCTGTGTCCTCTCCATCCTATATTTATTTATTTAATCCAAGCTAAATGCTTTTTCCTAAAAACAATGCTATAGTTAATGATTATTATTGACATTCCTCTGTTGTGATAAATCAGTACTGTACTGTAAGTAGCCTACCGGCCTATCGCGAGCAGTAGCTTACAAAACTTTCTACTGTTTTGTTTTGTTCTTTACATGGTTTATGACTACGCAATACAGTGTTTGGCTAGGTTTTAGGAGGGTTAGAACAAGCTGTGATTTTAAACTTACATCTTTTAACCTGTACCAAGGTCAATGCCATTGTCATGATTGCGCAATAATCAAGATCCCTCCCCTTTATTATGCCGGATAATTTAGGTTCTACTGTACAATGTAAACACTGTACTGTAAAGTATTGTAGCCTATGCTACTTTAATTGTATTTTAATGAGGTCAAATCCCGACCTATATTGACCGACGCTGGTTCTGAACCTCGACTTAGCGAAATTCCTGCAAACCTAACCTCTATATAACGAACCTCGTTTTAACAAAATCCTTTATATAACGAATATTCAGTTCGGTCCCTTCAGATTCGTTATACTGAGGTTGGACTGTATACAAGTAAGTATAAATAACTAGTCAACAGGGGTTTTTAATTTTTTAGAGGATTTCCCGAATTTAGCAAATTAAATTATTCATATTCTTATAGGCCTATAATTGTTTTAACATCTTTATAAATTTGATTAGGCTATTTTTACATCAAGTTTTTAGTCCTTCAAAGCACAAACATTCCTAATCCTTCTCTGCCAGATGTTTTTTTTTACTTTTCCTACATCAGGTAAGCAGACGGACTTGGTCTCGTCACCACTCCATCTTCATAATTCCATCTAATTGGCTGAGTAATGATTGGGTGTGTGGCTCAAAGGTTACCGACTTTTCTTGGAAGCCAGCCTTACCAGCCTAGCTGATGTCAGCTAGGAAAAGAATTTTGATATTGATGGTCATACTACTGCTCCACTCTGTTCACACCAGCTGATCATCTAGTGTAGGTGTCTACTTGGCTGAGAACAGCTGGTTCAGGGTTAATTCCCTTCTTTACAATCTATATATATAAAATCCAATGTATGTATGTTTGTTTGTTTGTTTGTTTCTTTGTTTGTCCTTTATGGACCCCGAAACCGCTCAACAGATTGTAATGAAACTTTCAGGCATTATTAAGCGATTCAAGGATGGTTTATGTGAAGTTTGGTGCAGATCCGTCAAAAGGGCTCCGCCCCAGTGGCTCTGGGGTTTCCCATGTTAACCTTATGAGTCCTCATATTTAAATGGAATTAAAGAATCTTAACAGCTGGTTCAACTAAGCAATTTGATTCTGTGATGTTCAATAGCATTAAAAAGTTAATAAGTTTACCAACAGGGTGCAGTACGATTATTTTTTTTTTTTATTTATGACAACAGCTAATTTGCAACCAAAAGGTGAGTGAGCGTAGCGAACGAATTTAAAACTGGAGGCTAGTTAGCGTAGCGAACGAGCTAACCTGAAGGCAAGTGAGCGCAGCGAACGAGCTCCAACCTAAAGGTGAGTGAGCGTAGCGAACGAACTTCAACCAGGATCTTGAAAATGAACAAGCATTTGACATAAAACCACATTAGGACAGGACGTCTGTCGGGCCAGCTAGTACATATATAAGTAGGCCTACATATATGTGTGTCCGTTTCTGTTAACACGATAAATCAATTTTAAAAAACATCCGATTTCAATTAAATATGGTACAAACATGTAAACCTAAATTAATTCAAACAAGTTTGAGAACTAACATGATCGGAATATGTAAACGGGCGTTTTAGGGGATAAAAATTTGTTTTTCTCATATTTGACACTCAAAATATAAAATTTTGCAATTTCTTTTTAGAACATTTTATGGAGAGCCTAAATAAATTTCCTAACTAAGTACCCATATTGTGGCGTTTGCTTAATGGTTACTGGGAAAGTTTAAAAAAAAATGCATGTTTAAAATTCCTTGTTATTCTTCCATACCAGGTGTGCCCAGAGGGGGGGTAATGTGGTGCGTTTGCGCCACATGAATTTTTTTTTGGGGGGATATTTTTTTCCTAGCTGTCATAATGAATTCCTAATGATCCTAATCAAATTTTGGATAAGCAGCCTGAAAAGGTTTTTCTAAGTATATTAAGTATGGTAGTTTACTATCAACACCAACAACATTTTTCCATTCGTAATTAAGATTGCTTCTAAGAATGGTAAAAACGCACCTTGTTAGACAATCCTTAACGTGTACGGTAGGGTCAAATTTTACTTGCTACATATGTTTTGGCGATTCTTTAACTCCACGATCGTCAGGCTTACAGCAATATCCACTTCTGGAGGTGTCGTCAGTGTACGTTGCACACATTTAACGCAAAACGATAACAGATAGGCCTTTCAATTCACTTGTGTAAAATGCCGTTGGCAAGACTGGAAGTAAACTGAATCAGGCTAAGGTTATGATGGACCGACGTGGTCTCTGGATTGTCGTCTGCGTTTTCAACAGCTCATATTGGAGTATTGTAGTGACTGAGAAGAGTGTTGAAAATATAATTGGATTCATAATTAATCGAGTGTTTTCACTCAAAATTTGTCTGCTGTCCTTAGTATTATGTATTAAAATATTTCAAAATCTTCTAAAGTAATTAATAAATTTCCTTTCCCGCAGTAATGTAGAATTTCAAGACCATCATTTATATCCAATGATGATTTATATCCAGCAAATTGGTTACTATTGTCAATAATTTTGAATGGGGAACTTAATTATGAATCCCTTTATATTTTCAACACTCTCCTCTGCAACTACAGTACACTACAATTAGCCCAATATAAGCTGTAGATAACACAGAAGACAATCCAGAGACCACGTTCGACCGCCATAACCTGATTCAGTTTACTTCTAGTTCTGCCCTCGGCAATGTACACACGTGAATTGATAGGCCTACAGTAGACTCCCTCTTATCCGGACACCTTTTAACCGGACATCGGTTTAACCGGAGTACACTTGGCGCAAATGACATATCTTTTACCGGACAATTTTTATCAGCTCATCGCTTTAACCGGACTAGATTGGCAGGAAGTGGGCAGTACTGAAATGACTGTTCTCGTGGGAAAGATTTGAGACCAGTGATCACATGTCTAAATACGTAATAATCATACAGTAGACCCCTTCTTAACCGACCTCGTATTAACCGATAATTGGATTATCCGCCTTCGATCGTTATATAATACAGTTTGATTTAACCGACCTTGCTTTGATAGCAGTTCGGCTTAACCGCCGCTTTCTAGGAATCTCAGCATTTCCGCTCCCACGCTGGGCGATGAGAACTGAACCATACACTTATCTCCACAGGATATGACTAAGAATAAGTTATTTTGTATTAATCACAAAAAGTATAGCATAACCTATTGTCAGTTTGTCATCATCGTTTGTGGCTCGAGCACATCTAATCTGATTTGTTATCTGTGCGGCAAATTTATAACATCATAAAGTGTGTTACGATTTTGAGAACTGATTATCTTATCGCTCGAGTAAACAAACAACACAACTTATAGGGAGGGCAGGGAAGGGGGTTAACAACTCCAAGGTCAAGATAGTTTTTGTGCCTGCCTCCAGTGAGAGGCTATAAATAAACATCCTGTCTTGTAACAAAATGGTTGCTTTTATCTTTAATTTTGACAAACTACTGTATTACGATGGATTTGGAAAGCATAAATTAATACATTACACTACAAAAGTTATTTTTTTAAATAGGAATTTTTATTGACTCTTGCCTAGTATTATAATATATTCCACTGAAAGTAGGCCTATTTGACTTAAGTTAACCGTGTTTTGTGTTTATTT